GCCCAAGAGGCCCATGAGACAGCCTCAGCGAGGCCCCAGAGAGCCCGAGATGGCTCGAAGATGGCCGAAGAGGGCCCCAAGAGGGCCTTGAAGAAGCACAAATCGGCCCGTTCCCGCAGTAAAACGTACATTTTCAGCATACTCGCTGGCTTCGTCTTCACAGTGCCCCAGACGCCCCCGCGGAGCCCCAACACAGTCCAAGAGAGACCCAAGAGGGCCCAGGACGGCCCAAAAGCGTCGGCCTGTGGAGCCCACGGAACCCCCAAGACAGCCCAAGAGGCCCCGAAGCCGGCCCAGGAGGCCCCCAAGACGGCCTCAGGGAGGCCCAAGAGGGCCCCGCTCGACATCATGCTCCCGGAAGCCTCTCCGGGAACATGATTTCCGAGTTCCCAGGGCCCCCCTAGAGGGCCCCAGGACAGCCTCAGCGAGGCCCCAGAGGGCCCGAGATGGCCTGAAGATGGCCGAAGAGGGCCCCAAGAGGGCCTTCAAGAGGCAAAAATCAGCCCGTTCCCGTAGTAAAACGTACATTTTCAGCATACTCCCTTGCTTCGTCTTCGCAGTGCCCCAGACGCGTTCGATGAGCCCCAAGACAGCCCAAGAGAGACCCAAGAGGGCCCAAGACGGCCCAAAAGGGTCGTTTTGTGGGGCTCACGGAACCTACCAAGACGGGCCCCAAAGCTGGCCCAGGAGGCCCCCAGAACGGCCTCCACGAGGCACAAGAGGGCCTCGCTCGAAATCATGTTCCCGGAAGCCTCTCCGGGAACATGATTCTTGGGTTCCCCAGACGCCCGGAGACAGCCCCCAGAGGCCCCGGACATGCCGAAGATGGCCTCAGGACGGCCGACGACGCCGCCAAAACGCCCCAGGAGCGCTTCCAGACGCCCGTCCAAAGGGCCTCAGAAGCCGAAAATCATGGACGTTCCAATGGTTTCTGAAGCATTCTTGCGCTCTCCCATGTTCCGCCTCCCCACGGTCCCCGACCGTGTCAGACGCCCTTCAGATCGCTCCAAGACGGCCGAAGAGACTCCCAAGAAAGCCCAGACACGGCCCAGGAGGCTCCCCAGATAAGTCAAGAGGGCCTCGAGACCGCCCCAAGAGAGCCCCAAGAGTGACCCAAGAGGGCCCGAAGAGCGCGACATTTCAAGGTCTCCAGCCTGAGAGGCTCCTGGGACGCCCCCAGAGGCCATCAAGAGGCTCCCAAGAAGCCCCGTGAGGCTCCCAAGAGGTCCCGCAGAAGTCCCAATAGGCCGTCAAGGGGCCCCCAGGGAAGCCCCCTGCGGGCCCCCAAGACACTTCGGTAAATCGTATTTCCCAGATAGCTTTCCGGGAACATGATTCCTTGGGCTTCCGCCCACCGCCCCAACCATGTTTCCAATAGACTTGCCGACAAGGCCAAAAGGCGCCCCTCGGTAAGCCCCCAGAGGCCCTTCTTTTAGAGAGCCGAACAAATCATGCTCCCGGAAAGCTTCCCGGGAACATGATTCTCTATCTCGGAGTAGGCCCGGGGGGGCGGCGGGCCGCTGCCTGTTCCCCCCATCGGTGCCCACCGGGGGTTGCGGGGGGGGGTCCAGAGGTCCCGAGGCGGCCCAAGCCCGCCCCGAAGCAGGCCACGAGGCCCCGAAGACGCCCAAGATACCCTCAAGACAGCCGACGAGGACTCCAACACGCTCCAGGACGGACTCACGAGGCTCCCCAAGAGGACCCTGGAAGGCAAGATTCGGTGTTTTCCAAGTGTTTTCGATTTAGGCGTTCTCGCTTTTCCTGCTTTCCAGCGCTCCCTCACGGCCTCGGAGGCCCTTCAGATCGCTCCAAGAAGGCCCACGAGGCCCCGACGAGGGCCCCAAGACGGACCAGGAGGCTCCCCGGACAACCCAAGTGTACCCCAGGAGCGCGCCAAGAGAAGGCCCAGAGGGGTCTCGAGGCGGCCCGGGCCCGCCCCGAAGCAGGTCACGACAGGCTAATGGATTTCCCGAGAGGGCCCTAGACGGTCCCAAGAGGCCCCGAAAACGCCCAAGATGCCCTCAAGACGGCCGACGAGGACTCCATTACGCTCCAGGACGGACTCAAGAGGCTCCCCAAGAGGGCCCTGGGAGGCAAGAATCACTAATTTTCCGATGGTTTTTGAAGGATTTAGGCGTTCTCGCTTCCCCCGCTTCCCAGCGCTCCCTCACGGCCTCGCTCGGAGGCCCTTCAGATCGCTCCAAGACGGGCCACGAGGCCCGGAAGAGGGCGCCAAGACCGCCCAGGAGGCTCCCCAGACAACCCAACTGTGCCCCAAGAGCTCCCCAAGAGAGGGCCCAGAGGGGGACCGCCAACCGATATTTCGAGGTCTCTGGCTTAGAGGCCGCCTGTAGGCCACCAAGAGGCTCCCACGAAGCCCCGTGAGGCGCCCAAGAGGCCCCCAGGAAGCCCCAAGAGACCCCCAAGGGTCTCCCAGGGAACGCCCAAGAGGCCCCCCAACACACCCCAAGAAATCATGTCCCAGAAAACCTTCCAGGGACATGGTTCATCATGGGCCCGAGAGTTCCCGGAGGCCCAAGGGGCCCCCAGGGAACGCCCAAGAGACCCCCCAACACACCCCAACAAACCATGTCCCCAGAAAGCCTTCCGGGGACATGGTTCATCATGGGCCCGCGAGTCTCCGGAGGCTTCGAAGTACCATCATGCTACAGAAGAGCTGTCTGGGAAGTTGATCGGGAACATGACTGATCGCCTTCTCGCGGCCCTCCGCAGATCGTTTCGCACAAATTTGCCCCAAGTGCCCTCTTGAACCGACGACGACGACGACGCAACGATGACGACGACGACGACGACGACGACGACGACGACGACGACGACGACGACGACGACGGCGCGCCCCAATAGGCGACGACGACATTACGACGACGACGACGACGACGACGACGACGACGACGACGACGACGACGACGACGACGACGACGGCACGCCCCAACAGGCTCCCCAAGACGCCCCCAAACCCATGCTCCCAGAAGGCATTCTGGGAACCCGATTCATACGGCCTCCGCCCCCCTACACAACCATTTTCCTCGAAGGCCTTTCGGAATGCAAATTGGCATGCGTGGACTGTGGTCCACTACTTCAGTGGAGCAATGAATTCGTCAAGGTCTGGGGCCTGCTAAAACCTGAGCGCGCGCGCGCGAAGCGCGCGCGATGGTTCTAGTGGGTATATCTGGAAATGTCCAGGTGAGAGCTTCAGCGCGAGTCCACCGACAGCAGTAGTCGTTAAGAAGTGAACGGATCGGCACCGCCCCAGCATACTTACACGAACGTGCGTCGGCCACGAAAGGGCGGCGCGCACCCTCGGAAATACTATAGTATAAGCTCCGTGGCGAGCGCTTTTTGGTCATACCTCTGGGAGGCGATCTTATGAGACCTGTGTATTCTATGCTCGGGTCGGACGTGCGCCTCCAACACCAGCACGTAGTATCACAACCCTCGACAAAATTCTTTACGCTTCGCGTATCCCCACCAGCCCATCTCACAACAGCAACTCTTGCGAAGCATGCCGACAGTCGTGTTTTTCAGGCGTGTGTCCGCTTGCCCCCGCATATCTCCCCTGTTCCTCCTTCCTCCCGCCTCCTTGTACATCCTCCTTGTGGGGGGAGCGGGAGAAGGACGAGGCGGAGGAGGAGGGAGAGACAGCGCTCCTCCTGATTTGAGTAGTTTAGGGTTTCTCGTCCGGGTGTGAGTCGTTCGGGCCCTTCTTCCTGGTGTGAGTCGTTCGGGCTCTTCGTGGTGTGAGTCGTTCGGGCTCTTCGTCCTGGTGTGAGTCGTTCGGGCTTCTCGTGGTGTGAGTTGTTCGGGCCCCTCATCCTGGTGTGAGTCGTTCGGGCCCCTCCTCCTGGTGTGACTCGTTCGGGCTCCTCGTGGTGTGAGTCGTTCGGGGCCCGCGTCGTGGTGTGAGTCGTTCGGGCTCCTCGTGGTGTGAGTCGTTCGGCGCCTCGTCCTGGTGTGAGTCGTTCGGGCCCCTCCTTCTGGTGTGAGTCGTTCGGGCTCTTCGTGGTGTGAGTCGTTCGGGCCCCTCGTCCTGGTGTGAGTCGTTCGGGCTCCTCGTGGGGCCTCTTGGGGGCCTCTTGGAGCCTCTTGGGGCGGGGGCCTCTTGGGGGCCTCTTGGGGGCCTCTTGGGGGCCTCTTGGAGCCTCTTGGGGCCTCTTGGGGACCTCTTGGGGGCATCTTGGGGGCCTCTTGGAGGCCTCTTGGGGGCCTCCTGGGGGCCTCTTGCGGCCATCTTGGGGCCTCTTGGTGCCTCCTGGGCGCTTCTTGGGGCCATCTTGGAGGGAATCGATCACAGAAGAGGGGAGCTTTAATGAGCGCTGCCCCCTCAGAAGGGCAAAATGAGCCCAAACCCTTCGTAAAATCAATGATTTTGCCTTGAAGGAAGAGGGGAGCTGTAAGGAGCGCTGCCCCCTCAAAAGGCCAAAATGGTGCCAAAACCGTAGTAACATCAATGATTTTGGCTTCAAAGAAGAGGAGAGCATTTTTTCTGGTCCCCCCCGTCGGGGCCAGAATCCTCGTGAGGGGTGTCGTTTTTTAGCCCTCCCAGGAGTCGAAAAGGACCCCCCTGACCACCCGCGAAAGGACCTCTCCAGGCCCAGGGGGAGGGGGTAGGGGGAGGGGTAAACCCCTCCCCGAAGGGGAAGAAGGGGGGTTGAGAACAGAGCGGGCTCTCTAAACCACTCACGCCCAACTGGCTGGTGGGATTAATTTCGAAAGCGGTTGACGCGCCATTTCAGCGTCGCCAGTTTCTACACATTCAATGTTGCCCCTTCGATGTCGAAGCAGAGCGGATTAGGATTTGGGCCGGCCTGACTCGGAAGCTCCTTGCGGTAACCGACATTGGAACGGCGGCTCCAACAAGTACCTTGCACGCAAGGTCACCCAAGCCCCAGGCATCACATCGACAAAGAAATTGCATCACACATGTTTGAGGTTCGTGTTGTCGAGGGTGGTATTCTGCTCTTCTGTGCCCCCCAGCGAAGGGCTTCGCCCTGGTTTCGCCCTCGCCAGAGCGGCCCGCCGGCGGCGGCGCGGCCTCTGGGCTGGCAGGTGGATCGACCTCGTCCTCCGCCTCGCCAGCGGGCCGCGCTGAGGCCCAGCCAGCCAAGAGCGCCCCGAGCGCCCACCTGCGCACCGGAGCTTGGAGTCCGTCGCCCCCAGACCTCAGAGGATCGAGGTTTTCGATTGCTTTTGGCCGTTTCTGGGGTTCCTCGCCGCTAATTGCGGGTGGATCCGCCTCGGAGTCCTGGCCAGAACGCGCCCCTTGAGGGGTCCCAGGATCGATCTGCGACAACCAGGACCCGAAACAATTTCGCGTCCCCAGATCTCTGGCGATGTGACCTGCACTTTTTTGTTCATCTCGGCTACCAGGGCCCGCCGTCGGGCCCCAGAAACGGATCCGCGGTGAGAACCAGCCCCCTGGGGCCCAGGGGAAGGGTCGGGACCTCTTTGGAGCCGCGCCTCGAAGACGTCACGTTGTCAGATGTTCCGGGTCACTCGACCTCCACCTATACCGCACCCTCCGGGCGGCAGACGCCGCGCAGCATCGGCCGCCTCCGAGGCTATAGCGGCGGCCTTGGCGGTCGCCGTGGCCGCGCCGCGGCTGCACATCCTGCGCGGAAGGCCCGGAAGCTGGAGGCGAAGGGTAACCCCATGCCCATGATAATAATGTTACCCCCCCTTAAGTCGTTAGAGTTTTTTATCGTCGACCAATAAGAGTTTGGTCGGGGGCGCGGGGCGCGGGGGCCAAACTTCATTATCACCTCGGAACGTTATGTTACCGATGCCGATGCCCTCCCTCCCCACGACCTCCACCTTCCGCATCATCCGTGCGGCGGGCGCCGCACCGCGGCGGCCGCCGCCGAGGCCGCAGCGGCAGCTTCGGTGGCCGCCGTGGTCGCACCGCGGCAGCGCCTGGGTGCGCGAAGGCGCGGAAGGCGGAGACCGAGGGCTGCCCGTCTCGGAGGGCACCAACTATACACCAACACCGATCCTGGCCCAGGATCACCCTGGGCCCAGGATCGGTGTATATGCCTTCTTGCGCAAGGCAGGAGGGCGTATACACCGATCCTGGGCCCAGGGTGATCCTGGCCAGGATCGGTGTTGGTGTATAGTTGGTGCCTTCCTACCGTCGTCGCCTCTTTGGGGGGGGCTTTATGTGTCGCCGCGGCTGGATTCACCCTGGGTTCTTGGTCAGAACCCAGGTAGCAGCGGTGTCGGTGTTTTCTTGCTCCCTCAGGAGAGTCCGCAAAAGGACGCGCTGCGGGCAGTCTCGGTGGCGCCAAGGCCAAGGACAAGGAGTCGGGGAAGGAGAAGGCGAAGGGCAAACACAAAGACAGCGATCGACAGAAGGAGAGGCCCAAGGACGGCGAGAAGGGAAAGGACAGGGACGCGGGCAAGGACAACGATAGGGAAAAGGGCAGAGAGAAGGACAAGCAGGGCAAGGAGAAGGCCCGAGACGTCCAACCGAAGGGCTCCAGGAGCAAGCCCCAGGAGAAAGATGGAGGCCAGGAAAAAAACGAGGAGAGCCGCAAGGACAAGGGCAAGCCGAGTGAGAAGGGCAGAGCCAAGGCCGACGGCAGGGCGAGCAAGACCCGCCAGCGAAGCAGCAGCCGCAGCAGCAGCAGCGTTGCCGCTGAGGATGCGCATGCGGCCGCCAGCGCCGCCGCCGCGCGGCACAAGGCACGCGGGCGCGAGGCATCTTGTGCCAGGTCGCGTGCAAGAAAGCCCGCTCCTCGCGCTTTTCCTGCTCGTCATCCCTCTCGCTCGCCTCCCTCCCTCCCTCATCCTGCTGCTGTTCCGGGCCGAGCCAGAGCATGAGTCTGAGCCCCCGCACCAGGGTCGTAGCTTTGACTCCGAAGTCGCCCGCTTTCGCCTGACGTTCGACGTTATTCTCGGGCGAATGGCGCCATGGAGCGCAGCAGCAGAGCTTGGAATGGGCGGCAACGCTACCAGTCTCGTGGAGATGCCCCGCGCGGGCTAACGCCCCCGTCGTCGGCGCTGGTGCTCCTGTCGCGTTCCTGACATGGCTGCGGCTGCGGCTTGCAGAACATGTGCACCACATGTGGCACGCACAAGACCTGCGAGAAGGTGCCCACCGCACCCGGTGCCCGCTGCAGCCCAGCTCTCAACACCTCCGCCATCTTTGCCCAGGCTCGGCCGCAGGAGGCGACCCCGCTCCTCACCCAGGCAAAAACGAGTCCTGCACCGCAGACAGCCCATCGGCAGCAGCACCCCCCCGCAGTCCCGAGGCCCTTGAAAGAGGTCAGGGCGGCAGCCAGAGGAGACCACATCGCCGCCGTTCGCATCGGATGTCGAGGGCGGACTATCGGGGCGGAAATGGGGGTAGGGCTGCGTTGCGGCGGAGCGGCGGGGCGGGGCGAAGTTGTCGGGGCCCCCCGTGGATGCGTTCTGCCGCCGTCTTCGTCGTCGTTATCCCCATCGTCGCTGAAATCACTCACCCCCCCAATGTCGCAAGCCAGAGGAGCGTTCATTGCCGCTGGGATCCGGCCCATAAGGCCAGCGCAGCCCTTTGTGGTCGGCGCGTCGAGAGCTCCGACGGGGCAACCCGACGCGAAAGCTGCGACGAGGCAGTCCGTCGCCCGATGGTCCTCCTCTCAATACAGCAGTGCCGTCAAGGGCGGAGGGGCAGGGGCCGTCAACGGTCTTCCTCTCAATACAGCAGTGCCGTCAATGGTCTTCCTCTCAATGGCCGTCAAGCCCGGGCGGAGGGGCAGGGGCACGGCCCAGAGGGGCGGCAGCGCCTTCGACCGCACCGGCTCGAGGAAGTCGGGGGGGGGGTCCCTGCCATGGGCAGGGCTCTCGGGCCCCCTTGGGATCTCTGCGGCCGTGGGAGGCGGCTCGTATTCGGCCCTGCCTGCAGACAAGGGTTCCGCCTCGGGGGGTTCGTCCGCGGGGATGCGTAGGGCACCGCGACCGGCGGAGGCAGAGGCAACGCGGGTGGGCATAGGGATAGGGTGGACACATGGGTAAGGGTTTACGTTGGGGTGGTGGGGAAGAGGAGGATGGCCGTGATGGTTTGTAGTGGGTAGTGGTGGTGGTGGTTGTAGGTCTAGGAGCCGTTGTCGTAGATGTTGCCGAGGTCGTGCGGTCGTTGTTCGCAGGTCTGGTGTTCGATTTTCCTCTCTACTCCTGTGCTTTTCGTTTGCTGGCCCGGCCTAGGAGCTGCAGCGCTCTGTCGAGCCCAGGCAGCCCCGGGTTGGAAGCTTCTCCATACGGCACACTGGAAAGATAGCCGCGCGCAGAATCGCCCCCCCCTCCCCCCCGGCGCAGATCGCACGTTGGCGCTGCGAAAGCGGTGGCGCGGCGGATGCAGGGTGAGACGGCAGGCCAATTAAGCAGGCGGAGGAGGATGAGGAGGAGGAGGAGTTTCTCATTGTATGTGGTTGTCGCGAAGATCAAGTCGCTCTGCACCGCGTGGGGTGGTACTTTATTTCAGTTCTCCGTTGTTGGCGGTTTGGTGGTAACGTCTTCAATAATATCCTGGGCAGGTGTACTCTTTTCGTGGCGCTGCAGCACGTCGCACTGTTCATGTGGGTCCTCGTGGAGTTTTTCGTCGCGGCCTTTATGCGCACTGTACTCTTCTGTGGCATGGGCGTTGCTTTCCAAAAAAAAAGGGGCAGGCCCGGGCGGTGGTTCTAGAGCCGTAGTCGGGAGGTCTCTGGGGCCGTGTAAGACGAGACGGGGTACGAACTGCTGTAGCGCGACACCAAGAAGTCCCAACCAGCGGTGCAGTAGACGTACTTCCGTCCCGCGGCGGGCCCGCGCTGGGAGGAAGCGGCATCGCTCCCGAGCAAGGGCAGGAATTAGTTTGATGCATTGTTTACCCTATCGTCCATACACCTCTGCGCCCAAGCAGTGTGAAGCACCCATACGTTTGGTTGTTATCGTAACCTATTCGGCGGCCTCCAAGAGGCCTCCCCCACGATTGCTTGCGCCTGGTATCGGTGCTCCTGTTTTCTGGATGAGCGAGATAATCGCTGCGTTGCAACACAGCGCCACGTTGAGACAAGGCACGATTAAATCGAGGCGTCGTGCATCCCCTGGTGGCACTGGAACATGGGTGGTTGCAAGGGTTATTTCTGCGTTTGTGTCTGGGATACGACCGCCCGCTTCGGTGAAAACATGCCACCACACGGCAACAATCCACGTGTGCCGGACATTTAGGTGACCATTTCTGTTGTTAGTGAGGCGCGAGAGGCCGTGCGGGTCCGCACCTTCGCATAGCATCCCAACGCCCAACCGTCGTCGTACCGCACAGCACCATGATTGGTTGTCCATTGTTAACCCATCAGCAGTTGGGCACACACAGTTAGCCATATTGCCGAATAGGGGCCAATACATGAGCGCAATCGTGTCTTGCCCGCTCTGGCCGCATTCACTCGCGCATGAATCTGGCGTGGTGACCCACGCCAGGTTCTCGCCTGAGCAGACCGCGGCTGCATGAACTGATGCAATATATCATTTTCGCGGGAGCCCCGCCAGGTAGTTGACAGCTCCTTGCGACGCCCAAGATGCCCAGGAAGAAAACCCCGCATTGCAAACGATCCCCACTCCCATATTTAACCGCCTACCGTACGCCACTCGACGTCATGCGTATTTCGATGCCTTCGATATCGTACGTTCTTGTTGTTTCCAACGTTGATACCCGAGCTCTCATGTTTTCGAATTCCGAATCCATGTCGCCCCTCAACTGCTTCATGTCATGCCCCACCTCCCCGACAACACGCATCGCGGGGGCCAAATATTTATTTAACATGTTCCGTGTCGATTTCATTACGACCGGTTCCTCATCTTCGTCATCTCCGTTGTCCTCGTCGGATACATGTTGGGCTTCGCCAGCTGCAGCTGCGGCACGTCCCATTTGAGGAGAAAGAGGTGGTGCTTGAAGACGTGAGACTGGTGCATCGTCGTCCGGGCGTCCCCATGGAATGTTTTTCTGCTGGCGTTCCGGCACAAATCGGTAGTGCAAGAGAAAGCGAAATATTGGAACACAGTCAATATGTCGAAACTAATCGAAAAACAAGGAATGCAAAGTGGAAGTATGATTGATCCCACTCACCAAATACTACTGCTTGAACCGAAAGGCTACGAAAATGGCTGGAAAAAGGTGCGCCGACCTAAGTTGGTTCTTGGTTAACGAGAATGGCAATGGAATGTTATGGTTATCACGGGATGGCGCAGGTTCCGAATTACAGACCAAACATTGAATCGCAGACCGCGCGCGGCGAATCACAGACCGCGTGCGCGCCGAATCTCAGACAGTACACGCTGAATCACAGACCGCACGCGACGAATCACGGACAGCACATATTGAATCACAAACCGTACGCCACGAATCACAGACAAAACACACTGAATCACAGACCGCAGACGACGAATCACAAACAACACGCACTGAATCGCAAACTGCACGCGACGAATCACAAACAGCACACACTGAATCACAAACCGCACGACGAATCACAGACCGCACATACTAAATCACAAAATGCACACGACGAATTACTGACCGCACACACACCGAATCAGAGACCACACGCACCGAATTACATACCAAACATTGAATCGCAGTGTTGCGGTGAATACAATCGGAGACGCCGGAAAGAAATTGTCGCAATGGGTTCCATGTTTGGACACAAGTTTCCAGAACAAAATATTGGTTTCATAACCGCGGACTCGGGCTTCTATATCAGTGGACCCGGGTTTCCATAGGTGTGGATTGCAATTTCCATATTTGCGGACCGGGGTTTTGTTAATTGCGGACGCGGTTTCCCATGATGTATTCCATAATTGCGGGGTCAGGTTTCCGTATTTGCAGATCCGGCTGGGTTTCCACAAATTCATGGTCTCATTAAAATTTTTAACGGAAACCCAGTTTTTTCCAAAAATCGCGTTTAAAGAATTAGTTCCACCAATCAATCGTGGACGATAATGAATCTAATGATGACGGCGACGACGATGACGACAGCGATAACGACAACGATAATTACAGAAATGATACCAGCAATGGCGATGACGACGACGGCAGCGGCGATGGCGGCGATATCCGCGGAAATGTTGATTAATAAATAAAACAAAAGAGAGAAGGGAGGAGGAGGAAATATGTGGGAGGGAGGACAGAAAGAAGGGAGAACAAGAAAAGCAAAACCGGAAAAGGTCGAAACATAATTTTTGGGCGGTTGGCCCTGAACAGTTGTTGCAATGTTGTACGGTTTGTCGTCTTGGTTCGCCGTCCTAATCCTCTGGAATTGGAAGTCTCTCGTCTACGAATATGAACGGGTTCTGTTTCATATTTGTTTCTTCCTAGTTTTAATGCAGTATCGGATCAATGAAGGTGCGCTCACGCAAACGACACCAAATGGAGCGAAAGAAACGCGACGCGCGCAGG